GTCGCCAGAGTTCTTGAAGACAGGAACAATCAAAGAGGACTTCCAGCAGTCAAGAAAACAAGATTCCTTGAGGCAGTATACAGTTTAGAGAGGGTGGGCGCTAGTTCAGGTGCGCAATTCTTCAAGACAATGACTGGTATCCCATCTCCAATACTAGCCTTGTTGGGGTCTAAATTGGAGATAATGCCCAATACTAAAGACGGGGTTATGTGTAACCCACTCAATATGGCCTCAGTTCTAAGAGGGAAGTCAAGTCCTAGACCAGTTGCCATCCAAGGCTATAGACCCCAGTTTGTCATGCTAAACCTTCATTCTGTTGCTCATTTCCCTGACCTGGAATGCAATACCTTGCAATACACCCCAATCTCTCGAAATTGTAGCACATTACTTTTGTTCTCGGTGGCTCCTTACAGTCTCTAAGTAGGTGTGATCCCTGACATCTACAGCACCTAACACTCGATGATTCCATATGACTTTTGTTTTCTTTTGGTCCCATGCTTTGTGCAATCTCTGCCACCGTTCTGGGCTCCCAAAGTTTTTTACTGACCTTGAAGCTGTTATCATTTTACAGAGGTCCATATTTTCTACACCAGGCACTTCTTGCAGTGCCCCAGATACGTCGTCCGGGAAGCCTGTCATGAAAACTAGTTTTACTGTCTGATCCAGTCTGCTCTCTAGATATCTTTCCAACTCTGCCAACCTTTTAATATTATTGGTGTAGATTTTCACTAATTCCCCAGTCAATTTCACTCTCTTGAGCTTTTCATAAGCTTCAAAGGGTCCTTCAGTGAATGCTTTCTTCAGTGTGGTCTCTGTCATGTCCTTGTCCAAGTGGTCCTCATGACTCATTTCAATATTGTTGAAATTGCTTGTGGTTCAAAAAATAAAAAAAAAGAACTTCTCCCAGGATCTCTCTCACTCTTCTCTTAAATCTCCATTCCTATTTTGAGCTTTGTACTTTTCTTTCTTTCTGCAACATCCTTTCTATAAAAGAAATGGCTGCCTATTGAAATAATTTGCAAGTATTTTCAAACCAGTCAAGGATAATAAATTATTGAAATAAAAATGGCTAGACAGAGGAAAGAAAGAAAGAAAAATAGAAAAAAAAGAACAAAGGAAAAGACAAGAAAGAAAGGGAACAAATAAAAAAAAAAAAAAAAAAAAGGAAGTAGTGTAAGTCTAGATATTGAGTGGTGTTCAGAAGAGAAAGAAAGAGAAATATGAGAGAGAAAATAACCTATTTATTTTAGACAATGTATTAATCATAAGGTAGTTTAGACTTGAAAACCTTAAATCTATTAACAGAATTAATATTATATTCAATAATACGATAAAACCATTTATATGAAAGAGAGATAATTCAGAATTAAGGATATATTTTGATTATTGAAGCAAAAATGGCCAGAGAGAGGAAAAAAATGGGAAAAAAAGAGAGAAGTTAAGAAAAAGACAAGAAAGGAAAATTTGAAAATCCTTGTAAATTTTATTTCAATTTACAAGGTGAAAATGATCATTAAACTAATGTAATCTTAATTCTTATTGTATGAAATATGTTGCTCCGTTTAATTAAAACAATAAGCTCTGTGTGAATCAGTTTTAATATTTTATTAATAGGATTCACTTGGATTATATATATATATATATATATATATATATATATATTTGAATTGATGTGAGTTTGTGACCCTGGGTTTCACGCTATTTGCAATTGTCAGATTGATCCAACTAAATATTAGCTCTATCACTGATATTGAGCGCTTTTCAATAAGTACCACGCATATATAATATATAAATAACATATATAAAAAATTGAATATATATATATAGTACAAACTTCCCAGTATTTCTCTTGAACATTCATATCTGTTTGAAGCATATCTTAACGTAAAAAAGTGACATAATATATTATGTAATGATCCATTTCATAATATATGGATCTTAAATTCTCCTTTGCGATGTGTGAGGTGGTGAGTGTGTGTAGAGATATATATATATATATATATATATATATATATATATATATATATATATATATATATATATATATATATATAAATGGACTAAGTCTGACAATTATTTTAATATATTTTTTGTTTACATGTTATTTTTTATAGATCCAAATATTTAAGTAAATGCTCTCTTTATAATTAACTGTATTAACATTTACCAGCCTGAAATCTCAAAGAAAATATTCATCCTCTGACAGGAATCAAACCTGTATCCTACACTGAACCACCATATAGCTCGAATCATATCTTAACATAAACAAATCACATAATATATTATGAAATGGACTAATCTGACAATTTTATCTCTCTCTCTTTTTATATATATATATATATATATATATATATATATATATATATATATATACACACACACCCACAGATAATAGTGTAGCAGGGTACCAAATATTCTTCCTTGTACAGGATTCAAGAAATAATAACTCCAATTTGTTAACCAACAAATATATATTGAATAAAATACGAGATGCATGAAATAAAATAGTATTCACAATGTAGATTAAAGAGAAGGAATTTCTTTCCCTTTAACTGTAGATTGATTGTAATCAACCGTTTAAAGAAAGCTCTCTTGTGAGATAAATGTTCCGAAATAATTGTTAGAACAAAGTTTGCATGTGAAGAATGAATAACATCAAGAATATAATTGCTTGAAATGTGTTGTGAATAAACTGGTTAGAATTAACAAAGTTCTGGTTGATTGTGCTTGGCGAAAGTTACAGAGAGAAAATGTAAGTTTGTAGTTACGAAATTCTGTCTGTGTGTGTGTGTGTGCGTTAAAGTGTGATAAGCCAGATTGTGGATTTTTATTGACGGCTGGGATCTTACTGGTGACTTGCGAAAAGTCGCCCTATTTAAGGAAATGAGGTAGGCCCCCACGGAACCGTGGGAAAACTTGATCTTACATTAAAAATATGTGATTGGTTAATTTTTAACTAATCACTACACTTGTACTAAACAGAATAGGTAAGTATGCTTAAAACCAAAAGATTCAAAAGAACGACAGCGATGGCTAAATTGTCCTATACAAAGGTAGTAGTAATTTATTAGCACAGGCGAATAAAATGACTTGGAGTTTATGTGCGTGTGAAAAACATAGCAACCGCTATATTAGGATCTTGTTATCCACAATAGGTTCTAAGACCTTCTAAAGATTGTAATATCCATAGAAATTGTTACCTGATTTAAAAAAAAATAAGTAAAATTCTTCTCAGTAAAAAAGCTTTTTTTTGACCGCTAAACGTCAGTGTTATTTCCCTCGAGTCAAGTTTTATCTTTTAGAGGCCATTTTTCTTTCAGATTTAGGCAGGTTTCTTTCTAACAAAATCATGAAAAAAGATTTTTTTTTAATCCTCTGCTTCATGTGGCTCTTGGCCCTTATACAGGATGAACATCATTGTAAAAAAAAAAAATAATAATGGAAGAGGTTAGTGACTGGGAGAGGAAGAGAATGAAAAGACTTTATTGCAGAGAAAGCACAATAAAAAAAACAAAACAAAAAAAAACAGGATTGAGGAAGAATGAAAATGGTGACTTATGTTGCATTTAAATTTTTGAAGATTGTAATTGGTAGGGAAGCAGAAAATTGAAATGGAATTCCACAAGCGAGACAAGTACAAGAAAAGAAACTATTAGAATAGAAGTAGCAAATCTAGTAGAACACTTAAATTCATCCTCTTGAAGCACTAAAGAAAAAAACAAAAAAAAAACTCAGAACATTTCTCCTGGAAATATTTGTAGAAAAGACAGAGGGAGGCCATACCATATCAGTGAGAAAGTGACTGAAGTCAAGATACCAGGTGTGAATCGATTACAGTATTTACACTTACAGATCCTTCTTTGAATTTTGTCAAGAATCCAGAGATATATAGAAGCACCAAACCTGATATGGCAACGGTATTCAATGCATGGATGAATGGTAAATTTATAAATGTGCATCAAGTATTCTGACAAGAAGAATTCTCTGGCACAATGCAGTGAACAAACTTTTCTGAGAGCAGACCAAGCAATATATTCAATATAATCATTCCACTTCATGCCAATGGAAAACATGAGCACAAGAAGTTGCAAAGAGTTTTTTTTTTGTCTTAGCATATGGATAGCAGGCAGAAAGGGTTTCTAATGATTTTCCTGTAAAAATGCATTGAAAATCAGGAAGAAATAGATTGATGGTGATGAAGAATTAATGCAATTATTACTGAGGAAATGGGTTTGTTGGTTTGATAAAACTGGCAATTTTCCACTCTTTCAAATGAAAGATAACCACACAGAGAGAAAAAAAATGATATAAAAAATATTTGAAAAATGAGAAGAAAAATATTTTATTTATAGAGACAAATAAATACAAGTATTATGTATTGTTTGCTTAAAAAATCAATTTTTTGTGATTTATTTTTTTGTCTCCCTGTCGTTTTTTTCCCAGCTGTTGTCGCTGTGTTTTGCTTTTTGTTTACTTTTGTTCTTTCAGTTTTAAGTTTCAATCCAGAAAAATATGACATGCTTTTAGATGCACTAATTTCAGTTCAAGGGAAGTAACTCTGTTTAGATAGCAAATTTGATTTATTTCCCTGTATTTTTTTCTATTTTCAAATGAACTGTTTTTAATATTTTTAGTTAAAAAATGTTTTGTTTTTTGTTACATCGTCTCCTGTAATATTGTCGTGAAAAATTTATTTACTAATCCTTGCTTGAATTGAAACTCTTTAACGAGATTTTATATTTGCTGTTCAATTGCTGTTTTTCTTGTTTAAAAATGTAGAAAGTCACTAAATTATCCAACTTTATTCAAACAAATCTCTTTGTAGATTTGTGGTAAGCATATAGTGTTACATATAAATTGCCTTTCCTAAAAATCATGTCTTTACAATATATTTATAAAGTTTTATCAGTCTATCAAATATAAATCTTAAATTATTGAAAAGATCTTCCATAAATTTTTCAGATAATCTAGTGACTATTTTTTCTTTTCAATTTTGTTAGGTAAACAAATGACATTAGTGAAAGACACTTTTAGAGAAGTCAAACCTGGTTTGTCGGCATATGCTGCAAATATTGATAAGGTGAGTAGGACTACATGTTTAGCGTATGTATATTGTTTTTTTTTTTGTTTCTTTAAAATGCCATATTCCATCAGGTATTATTATTATTAATAATAATAACAATAATGATAATTCTTATATTTGACTATGATCCATTTAATCCAATTGCCTTCGGTACTAAATTATGTGTAGTGCTTCCAAGGCTCTCACTAGTGGAGAGTTCAGCTGAGAGATGGTAAGTACAGCAGGTTTTGTTCAGTAACAAGCTGACTTTGTACATTGGACTAAGCTACTCACGGTATATTCAGGGCAATGATGATAAGGCATTGCTGTGTAGAGGTCTTCCAAGAGTAAAGTCAATGCTCAGGGCAGAGGGTTCTTTCAAAGGAATCAATGGCCACATGTCTGTGACCAAGGCCAACTGTCAAGTCAGAGGACATCAGTTGTGGTCTTTTTGCCTAAGACATGCTATACATCCCCCACACCCTTTCCACCCCAGTATTGGCATGCAACAGAGACATGTTCACTGAGCTTAAGTGCACAGCTGCACAATGACCACGCCCATGACTATGAAAAGATAGTGGATAGACATCCATAGTTTTTCATTCACAATAGTCTTCTGCTGGGATGACAGCCACCCAAGGGTAAAAAGCTCATTCTACCCTGCTATTTATAGTGATATATGATAATATTTGGTAAATGAGCTGAATCTATACCAGCATTTCTTGGCCAGTGTGCTTGGGCCCCTAATACACACTGAAAGGTAACCAACTGTACTCCAAGTTAACAGAAGAATGATTTATGAATCATTTTTACATTAAAAAAAAATCTTTACTTTTAAAAAGCGAAAAACACCAAGCAGATCTGTCATTTGATATTTTAAACTGGATTCTAAATTGCTTAATCTTTAAGAAGGATTAGATAATCCTTTCCCTTTTGTCTTTCTCAAGGGAGATAAATCAGTTCATTTCTCTGAAATTTCTTCATAAATCAATTTACATGAAAACTACACCACTTAAATATACAATGTAATATCTTAAAAATAAATAAATTGAAAGAAAATATGTAACAATAGTAAAATCAAATATACACTTGTGTAAAACTGTTTCATCTCAAATACCAACAAAATTAATAAAGTAAACAATGGTAGAACTTGAAAGACTTAGCAAAGGAAGTTCATTTGGTTAAATGAAACATTTTCATTATTAATTTTCAGATGATTTAATCATTCAAGTTATTTTTGCTACACAACTCTCAGGTTGTTTAACATTCTACAGATATGAAACTTGCACAGAAGTAACCTCAGATAGCAACTTGCACTCATACTCTGACAGTATTTCACAGCCAAATGCACCCAGGTGCATTAGAGCACCCTGAAATGTAGCATAATGTACCATAAGTTAACAGAAGTCATTTTTTTTTTTTTTTTAAATCTAGAGACATGAAACACGTGGCTTTCATGTCTAAGTCAAGTCTTTGTCATTTGATATTTAAAGCCAGATGCTAAATTTCTTAATCTTTAAGGAATGGACAATCCTTTCCTTTTTGCCTCCATCAATGGATTTAAATCAGTCATCATCGGCCTCACCCTAAAAAGAAAAAAATAGCAGATTTTTTATAAATCCATTTAAATGAAAACTGAACTGTTAAACTTTGTGGATGCTAAAACTAAATTTCATGAATGATTTTTTTTCTCATTAAAATTTAAAGTGTGCCTCAAAGTTTTAGCTATGAAGAAAGAAAAAAAAAAGATTGAAAAACACTGGAATAGAAGAATGACTCTTTAGCTAAGTATATCACCTCAAAGCCCATGTTTTGGCCACTCGCATCTGTTTCTGATCAGTTGGTACCAAAATAGTATGGGCTGGGAGCTGTGTTTTAGGAATTTTTCTAATCAAGTTGGCAAGTGGGATGATTTCAAGTTCCATAAAATAGGAACAGTTCTGCTAGCAAGTCTGTCCACCCTGGCAAGTGCTACCCTATCTGATTAGAGGAGGCACGGTGGAGTAATGGATAGCGGCTTGGATTGAGGAATCGCAGAGCCGAGTTCGAATTCCAGTCGAATCCATTACATTCACTTACGTGCTAATACCCTTGGGAAAGGTATGAATCCTCTTCCTCTCCCTCCAGCTATGGGTAAAATAGCAGGACAGACTGGATGGCAACTGGTCTAGGAGAAGGACAACTCTGAATTCAAAACCTGCAGAGGGTCATTTGGGAACCTTGTGGCATTCGGTGCACCAGGTCTCTGTATTCGTCCCTTCAAAAGATCTTAGGGGTGGGTGAATGGAGTCTCCCTGAGCCTTGGTTGGCAATCCATTTAGTGTTGGTGTCACGATAAAAACACCCTTGATAGCCCTAGCGAAGCATCAAGAATTCAGCTATTTGACAAGATTATGAACTACACCAATCAAAGTATTGAAGATAAGGAATACTGGAAAGGTGTAGTGAGTTCAATCTCGGCTGAGGCCGCAAGATGATGATCTGATGCTCTTCATTTTCCTCATTTCCCAAATTTAGAAACACCTCCCCTCTCATGTCGATGAGGCATGTGAATGAGCCAAAATAATTCCTTCAACTCTTTCTGGTTGGCCAGGATTTCTTGACAATGGGGGTCATTTTTCAATCCTGCTACTTTTTGTATACCCAGCCAGAGTGATCACCCAAGGAGGGGCATTGAAAACGTAGCTAAATGCAGGCCCCAAAGTGCAATGCTACATATATAACCCATTGCTGTGGTTTTAAGAGAAGAAATGTACTCATTCTTTTCCCAAGGGTGTTAGTAAAAAAGTGAACATAACTGACTGGGCTGAAGTTTGAACTCTGCTCACCAATTCCATTTTCCATGCTATTAACCATTACGCTTACTCACACATTCAAATATTAAGTTAGGATTTATGGCCACATCATGTTGAAATACCGGTTCCCATACAATCATCAAATTAAACAATGTCCAGCCCAGTCAGTACCTAGATGAGGGACTGCTTGGGAATACCAGGTGCTGTAAACTTGGATGTGGGGGTGGTGTAATGGATAATGGCTTCGAATTGGAAATTGGAGAGCTGATTTCCGATTCCAGTTGGGTTCATTATATTCACAAATATCCTTGAGAAAAGTATAACACCACCTCTTCCCCACCAGCTATAGGTTAATTTGTAAGATTTGTATCGTTAAATCATTATTATCTCTAAAAAAAAGTTTTTACAATCTAAAAAAAAATATTTTCTGGCTTTAAAAAACCTGCAATGGGTTAAGCCGTAGAAAATGAATGTTTGAATTAATCAAATATTATCAATCATTATTCAATCATCAGCATATTTTTTCTGATTCACTGTTATGTTACCTTACAGGTGTAGCAATATGATTTCTCACACATTCTTAGGAGATGAAAAATTTCTTTTTCCTTTTTTAACTCAATTTAATGACCAGTGTTTTTCAGGAATATTGTCTCCAGCCTACCTTTGAATTGTCAAACATAAAATTTTGTTGGTAGAACACGAGTGGATGGAAAGGGGTGGTGGGTCCCCCAGCCAGTGTCTATATAATGAATTGGAGTGTGTGGAAGGGTTTGTTTTCTATGGTAGTAACTTAGTGAGAAATCAGTTAGAAAATGTTTTCTTTTTCGTAGTAGAATGAAGTCATTGCTGACTAAGTGAGAATTTATTTATTTTTTTTGTTACTTCCTGATTCAAGTGTCTTGAAAAGCATTTATTGCTATTGTTTTGTTGATCATGGCCCTAATTGAAACAAATCTGTAGAACCGTGAACGTTGGTGTATTCACAGATAAATTGTATTTGCATAGAACAAAACAATGGATTGTCACAGGTGTTTGAGGTTTCCTATAGCCCCACTGAACTTAAATAAAGTCAATTCAGGTTTGCTAAGGTAAAAATTTTCTATCCCAAGTAAAAATGGCAAGTCATTTTGTCACAGCTTATTTCCTCTTAAAAAATGGATTTTCATACTTTTATAGGGGTAAAATATTGAAAAATGACTTTATCATCACCTAAACAAATATCAAGGAAACTTTTGATCTGAATCCCATGAAACTTGGTATTTTCTGAAAGTAAAAGATATATTCTTTTATTTAAAAGTAAAATTGGTTGGTGTAAATGACTCAAAATTTTTTCCAGGGGCTAAAATATGAAAAATTAAATTTTTTTTTTTTTTTTTTTCTTGTTCTAAACAAAAATTTTCCCCATTAATGGGAAATTAACCCCCTTTTTTTTTTTTTTTAAACTTTCAACTTTAGTTAATTTTTTCTGTGTCACATTTGTAACAGGAGAGTATGCATTGTCATGCAGTAAATATTATCTGTTATCTCTGTTGTTCAGAGAAACGTCTTCTCTTTCAATTGATTCTTTTCAAATGTTTTCTGCAATTTCATAACGTTTATTAAAGTGCATTTTCCTTTAAAGTTTCATCCAGTTCACCAATTCTCACAGCTTTTTAATAAAATTCTTTTGATCTTGAGCACAAAATCTGCTCATTTAGTCATTTTTGCAAAATATTTCTGACATGTTTGCATCTCTTCATCTGTTTTGATGATTAGCCTTATAATTTCTATTCAATTGAACCAGACTTTGATTTGGAAATTTGATTTGAACCACATATAAGGAGCCTTTGATTAGGAAATACTAGACAAGAGGTTAAGGATGCAAAATTTCTCAACATGATTTCCTTATGAGACAATTGTGAAATGGGTAAAACATTAAGTTCAAAGAAAAATTTGTAATGTTATTGGTCCTGACCTGGCAACTTGGCTTTAGTCCCTTTCCCATCACCATAGCATAGCTTCCCTGGGCCTTTTCTAAAAATACTTCTATGGTATCTAGACTTATGAATTTAAGTGTGGTACTAGATTGGCAGCAAAGTTTCATCATTTTACAGTTGAGATGGCTAGATGTCACTATAAGTTCTATGCTAACAGTTTCTTTTCTCACACTTCTCACTTGTGGAACTCTTCTAGCTTCATTCTTTCCAGTCAACTTTCATGTTCAAAAATATAAATGCCATGTCA